AAAAAAGCTTTCTGAAAAGAATCTAAAGATCTTCAGACATCTGGCAGTATTTCTGATGGATTTTCTATGGTACCCTATCTAAAGTCTGTTTACCTTTTTGCACTTCTTTCAATATGCATCCTTGTAGCAGAAGCGCAATAATATTTTTCTTTCTCTGAATGAAACAAAATGTGGTCAATACAGGTGTATATGTATTTGTAAATCGAATATAGAACTGCTATGAATACTGCTCTATCAACTGCTCTATCAACAAATTTCATAACAGGTGTATATGTCTGTCTGCTCTCTTGCGATGTGTTTGGCGTGATATGCAGCAAAAACAGCGCCATATTGTGATCATCTTTTGGTGTCTCTCTTTCTGACTCTTTCTTTTGTGCACAAGAAATAAATCTTCTACTGCTTTCGTTTCTTAAACACTTATGGATAATGATTCAGTGAGGAAAATACTGCGGTTTTGAACTGCGTATTTTATTGCTGAGGGCATCAAAAAATATGACTTCCCTAAGAGACACAATAGAAGACCCCTCTAAAATTTGGGAACAACAGGACACGTCAGAAGACCTCGGGTCTTCTAATGTGTCCACCCCTTTCGATTATTCACGTTTTGAGCTTACAAGGTTCTTTCTAACTGCTCTTTTGCTAATTTTTAAATGAAAAGATATATCATGCTTGATTGTCACGCCTTGTAATCAACGCTTGACTTCGTTGTGAAACATCTTCATAGGCAAGCATTAATATGTTTAGTTCTTTCGAGAAGGTTCTTACATGGTCTCAATAAGAATATGAATCCAACACATCAAAGTCTGAACATCTTTTACTCATGATTCTAATATCTTAACGCATCATAAACATCTTGGATGAGTGTTCTTGGATCATCGTTTTGACTTACAATTCTTCTACAATTATAATTAACTTCAGTTTACAAAGTTTACAGACTTTAGATAGGGTACCATAGAAAATCCATCAGAAATACTGCCAGATGTCTGAAGATCTTTAGATTCTTTTCAGAAAGCTTTTTTACTTGATATTAAGCACAAAGTGTATCAGCCATTTCTTACTTGATGGTATAGATGACAGTTTTTATTGATTCAAAAAATACAGACAATATGAAATGTGTTAGGATACATTTTCACTTATTGAGAAACATTCGCCGCAATATCAGTGTCTCACTATGTCCAGCTTTGGATTGAACTAAATTTCAGAAAGAACAACTTTTAATACAAACGCTAACTTTCTCTTGTTGGCACAAATACGTACGGGATTCGAGCGTCGAAAGCAACAATCATCAAATATGGCATTACAACAAAGGAGTGTTGGATCTGACAGTAACTCTTCGGAAAGTTCTTGAAATAGTGAAGCCAGCGTTGCAGAGTTCAATTCTAAATTCTGCTCATCAATAGCTAAGCTTATAAGAGCTTCAATCCTTTCTTTGAGCAAATTAATTTCATCATCGTTTATGTCAGATTCATCTACATCAGCTGTTAATTCCTGAACTAATTCAAGCAGTAGCTGTTGATATTGACCTTGCAGAGAAGAGGGTACTTCGAGTTGTCGAACAATGCGATTTGTACCCTAAAAATTGGGTCATGTTATAAAGAGGCCTAAATTTCCATTGCTTACCTGTTCAACTGGCTTTGATATTACTATTGTAAAAATCGTGAGGAATAGAAAAATGAAGCCTTTCATATTTCCTGGTAATCTGAAATCAATTCGGCCATAAATGTCAGCAATTATTTTCTTATTTATTAGAAACTACATGTGCTGCGGTTCACATCGTAAAATGCATAAAGAAAGATATCTACGATAAACATGAAACCGAAAACAATGGTGAAAGACAAAAAATATTTTGAAGAAAAAGCTATATGGTTAGAATTAGCATCAGATGATGTATTTGTTTCATCGAAAAATTTCTTCTCCCTATCCCACGCCCTACTCTTTTGGAGCATCGAAAAACTTTTTTCTCAGATATTTTTGAAGGGTACAACATTCAGTGCAGAGTTTGATGCAGATTAAGAATATTAGGTTCATTTTGCATAAGGATGCATTTTGAATGAGAAAAAAAAATTGTTTTCTGTTGGATTTTTGGCCTACAGCCGTCAGACAGAGACATTTGAAACTTTAAAAACTTGTTAAACATATGTAAAAGTAGTTGCTCGTTTCGAGTATGTGGTTAAAAGCCTAGGGCATGTCATTAAAGTGCACAAAGTTAAAATGGTCTGGAAAATTGTTATAAAGCGCCTGCTATATTAAAATGCACCGTGTGCTACTCTGCAAATCTTGGAACAACGAGAAATGTTTATAGTATACACAGTTTTTGATGTTCTATTGAATGAGTATCAAATGATAACTAGAAAATGCGTGTGTCATTATTGAAAATCAGACATACTTCAGATATTACTAATTCTAAGGATGGTACTACAGTTGTGCCATTAAAACTAGTTTATTTTAGTTTTTGATTTATGATTTACATCCACAATAGTATACGAGTTTGTAGAAAATTGTTTGCTCTACAAGATATGACAGCTTGTCAAGTACGAAACTATTCTACTAAATCTATATTAATTAAAGGAAAACCAGAAAAACAATAACGCTGTGACATTTTTGATCGTTTTTTGTCACAGCGTTTTCCTGGTTTTCCTTTGATTAATACACATTTAGCAGAATAGTTTCGTACTTGACAAGCTGTCATATCTTGTAGAGCAAACAATTTTCTACAAACTCGTGTATTTGTTCAATTTTTACCAGCTCGTCTTCACTCTTTTAAACACGCCTTTTAGATAGTCCAAAATCGATTTTGGGGACTATTTGTACAACAGCTGTATTTCCATAACGAATCAACGTTCAGAGGCGAGACACAGTTCATTTTGTAGAGAAATGTTTAATCTACTTAATCATCCAGTTGCCATTTTAGATTAGTTTGTAGCTTTATTCCAATAACTTTTTGAAAAAGAGTAAAAAATGGAAGCCGTTAGCTGGACAAGCTGTGGAGCTCTCGTTCTTATGCAGTTCGATAGAGCACATTAAGTTACATATACCTAGAAGTTATTATGAATATTGAATCAACTGTACCTGACAAAATAAACTTTTTTCATTACATTGCAGTTTCATTCCTTAAAGTAGTTTTTTTTGGCACTTATGCACATATTTATCATTTGATACTCATTCAATAGTACATCAAAAATCATGTATACTATACATAAAAAACGCGTAACTCTGCTACCGGATTCTCTGTGCGTTACCGTTTTTTCTCTTTTCATCCATCCTATAATTTTCGGAAAGAATATCGTAGAATCCTGGGAAAGCGTCTTGTTTTGTAGAATGAAGTGCGTTCTTCAAAATCCACTACTAGCTCAATTCGAAATAATTGATGACTTTTT